AAGTCTGCCTACCTCCAGGGGAGCTCAGGAATCGGTTGTCTGCTGGTGTATTTGTGTTGGACGTCCTCCCAGTGAGCGGTAGAGCTCCCCACTTTCATCTCAGCTGTTCCATCTCCTTTATATCTGTGGAGTCTTCCAGAAAATACACTATTTCAGTCCTCCTTCCTGTGTTTCTCATTGGATAGATTTCCATCACTAATAATTGTTCTGAACAGTCAAAGTAAGACTTTCTTGTTGAAGAAAATCTGGAAAACGCAGAAAAATATAGAGAAGCATGAAAAAAACTCAGCCTCAAAGCACAACTGCACCAGGAAAGGAACAGAGGCAAGGAAGTGTTCATTATATTAAAGAATGCTGCAAGGGGAAAGCTTAAACTCAGCTCTTCAGACTCCACAGTGGGATTTGCCCAGACAGGGTGAGCCAGCAGAATGGTACTGCCAAAGAGCAGCCATGAGTGTTCAGCTAGGCTTCCCCTCATCCTAACAAATGTGGCAAGGATGCCTTCTCCATGTCCAAGTTTCAGAGAGTGACTTCCAGGTCTTTCCCGGGTCCAGAAGCCTGGAAAAGGCTGGGAGAAGATGAATATCTCAAAGCGACAAGGCACAATCCACACTGCAAAGTTTCCCAGAGGCAGTGCTGCAGGAAAAGCAATGCAACAGCCGGGGTGAGGGCAAAGCCGGCCCCACGTTCAGTGGCTCAAGGAAGTGTAAAGGCCTCAGGCATCAGTCCTCCTCTTTTAGGAAATGGCTCTTCGTTTGGCACATGTTTTTCTTACTTTTTAAGTGTTTCTCCTTTACTGAGATTTGCCCTGTAAACATAACTGCATGTTTGTTGCAAAACTGATTTTTTAATAACCTTCTCATGATTGGTAAATATTCACTATGTGTTAGAACAGCCATAAAATAGTGCATACATCACAGTGTGCTGCTTAAAGCAGAGCTCACGCTTGCAGAGTGCTCAGAATAGAGACAGCCACGTGTTCCATGACATAATGGACTAAGCATTTCACAGATGGCTCACGCATAAAAGCAAGTGCAGGGAATCTGCCACAGCTATCCTCGAGTATGAGAGGCTGCTCTGTCAAAGTAGCTTAGGACGCATTCCTGGGAGCTCCAGGAGGGGTGAACACAAGCCGAAGCTGGCAGGGAGAAGGAAAACCTCTTTGGAAGTGGTCAGCGGGTCATTGTTCGGTGGTATTTGGGCACATCTGGGTGAGCCTTAAGGAGCGCCATAAGTGCTCGTTTGGAATGTTGACCTTTCCCAGTGAGCAACTGTACTATTAGTCACTGTGTAGAGTCTCCGAGGGGCACTGGCATCCCTTCCTCAGGCTGCTTGTGGTAGAGGCTTGTGTGGGTTGTCATGGAGGCAACTATAGCCCCAGGAAGCCGAGTACCCAGGTCCTGCTGTGTTGCTGCCCTTCCAACCCTCCTCTCTTGTGGGCCGGAGTAAGGGAGGCTGGGTGGGCATAAGCTGGGTGCTCTGGGTACTACAGTGCTTTCCAAGAGTTACAGAGTCCATTGTCTCTGGTCCAGCAAGCTCTGCTCTTCTGCCCTAATCCTACAATAGGAACAAGCTGACATCCCACCCTGTAAGTAAAGGAAAACCCAGCGTTTTCCCAGGTGCAGGCAGTGTGAGTGCGTGCTAGCAATTCCTGATTGCAGTCTTCTTACAGGTTGGCTTTACTTAGTGGTTGGATGGCTATCAGAGTGAGAGAAACAGGCATGAAACTTCATACTTCTCTGATTTTTAAAAAAAAAATTATTTAATTGTATTTGAAGAGTGAAAACAAAAGCAAAAACAAACAGAAAAAAAGACAGAAATAGGGTAACATACAATACATATGTTACAGATTTTCAAAACAGGAATAGCTAACAATGGTTTTTATCTGTTTTTATCATCAAATCTGTTGCTAAGATTAACAAATATAGTTATGCAAGATTGGGAAAATAATTGCATATTGACGCTTACTTTCAAGAAATCTTAATTTTTTTCCTTGCCCTTTTTGTCTTAATCTATTTTAAAGAGAGTATAATGATTGACAAGGCATTAGAACCATTACACATTTAGAAGACCAAGATGAGAGGTATTCAGCCATGGGTTTTTTTTTTTTTTTTTTTTTTTTTTTTTCAGCCATGGGTTTTGTATTATACATTGCTGCCCTGGATGTAGTTGCTTAGATCACAGATGTCAGAATACAGAGTTAGTTAAGGTAAAAATTCTAAACATTAACTGCTATTTTCAAAAAACCGATGCAAATTGTGAGTACAGTCATCTCAGCTATCCTGATGGCTAAGATATACAGGATATACTTCTCTGATTTGAAAACATTAATATTAAGTGTGATATTGAATATAGAAAAATATGCCCACTGTAATTATATAGTACTACAGTACTTCTGGGGATTGAAGTCAGGACCTTACACTTGCCAGGCAGGCACTTATGCTTCATGGACTAAAAGAAAATACATTTTTCAGAACTCAAGTAAAGCTGACGTGACATTTCTGCAAACTTCACACTTCCTGCCTTTCTGTCAAGCCTGGCCCTGATGCAGGACCCGCTCTTGTCTCTGCTCCCACTATCCTGCTTTCTGGAGCATGGCAGGGAGGCCAGGCACAGAGGTGGGAGCAGAACAGTGAGACCTGAGGCTACAAAGGATGCTTCCTCACCGCATTCCCCTCCCCTGTCCACATCAGTGCACCAAGCCGTCTGCAGCTCCATGTATATGATGATCAACAACTGAAATCGTAAAATACAGCGATAGTGGCATGACACATAGAATGTACCTATGGCGGTCGCTGTCCTATTGCTGGGACTGAAACCTGGTCCTAACAGCTTAAAGAATGAAAGGCTTATTTGGCTCTTAGCTTCAGAGGAGTTGGTCTGTAATCAGTTTGCTCCAAAGCATAGGGTTTGCAAAAAACTGGGAAATTTTTAAAATTAAACCTGGGAACAAACCTTGTTCACACTGAGTTGCTAGGTATTGCTGAAGAAGCACAAACTGTAAGACAAGTAATTGCTCTTTGAAGGCCAGTAATGAAAATAAAGTGATAGCAATACCAATGGGAGAAAATACTTTTCTAAGTCCATCTCAGCTAAAGGACTTGTGTACAGAATACAGATTCTCAATAATCTGAGAACAGGGGTCCAATGAAAAGTGCTCAAAGAATTTGCACTTAGGCTTACCCAAAGAAGAAAGCTCTTACAGAACCACAAGCAATCCCAGTGAGCCAAAGTACTTTGGAGATAGAACAGAGCTGAAGGCCACACATTCCTGTTTTCAAGCTGTATTACAAAGCTGCAGGAATCAATACAGGATGATACTGGCATAAAAACAGATGTAGAGCAATAGACCTGAAATAAACCCAACGTGGTCAGTTGATCTTTTACAAGGGTCCCTAGAACACAGCCTGGGGGAAGACAGCTGTTGCAGTAAGCGGTGGTAGGCAAACTGGACATCCAGGTGCAGGAGACTGAAGTTAGGACTTTGCCTTGTATCTGTACCAGAATTAGATTGACATGGACATGCTGTGATCAAGCCAGTCTTGCTCATGACAACCAAGAGAGAAAAAGGCTCTGCAGTTCAATCAGTGGACATCTGGGCAGAGAAACAGGCAGATATCTGCAACAGAGCATTGCTGAGATGTCGCCCAAGCCTGTTGGCCACGACGTGATTGAACCTGGAGGGCATTATGCTAAGTGAAATAATGCCAGATAGAGACACGAATATTGCAGAGCTCCACTCATGTGGGAAGTCTACAGAAGCCAAAGTCATAGAAGCAGAGCACAGAAGTCGGTGGGCCCGGGGATGGGGAAGAGATGGGCTTTCTTATAAGATGAGCAAGTTCTGGGGGCCAGTGTGCACAGGTGTCATAGGTGCATTCTGCGGTGTGACTGTGGTGATTGCTACAGTGTATGTCAAATCACAGTGTTGGACATCTTAAATATGTTCACTTTTTATTTAACAATTAAATTCTTAAAGATAAAAATTCAGTAGAGAACTACATTTAAGAGATACTAAGCCACTGATTATAATTGATTCCAGAGAGCATAGAGGGGTGAATAAGAAAAATACCTCATGGGTAGTTTGATTATAAAACTACAAAAGTTTTGGCAAAAATCATTGCAGTATGAATCTTGAAAGGGGATATATTACCTTATATAAAATTGACCTTAGTAAACTTGAAATTTAAAGTGGTAAACAATTGCACTGAGTTCTAAATAGAAACATAAGTAGTGTTGTAAACTATGGGAAGCAATTATGTTTACATATATTGACTTCGTTAAATATGCATGCATTTCTGCTTCCATGGTAACAGTTGGGAAAGTACATTTTCAGACCCTATAGTAAAGCACTACAGTGCCAAGTCAACACTGAAATTATTTGTTTTTTATGAACATTACAAAGTAATGGCTTTCCTTTGACAAGGAACTCTATAGGAAACCAAGAACCTTTACTTATTTTTGCCCAGTTTGAGCTATGTGCAATTAATAAAATTTATTCTGATTATGATATTTCAATTCTTAAACATTTTTATAATTTTTATGTTACTATTGTTATTTCATTACATACTCAAAATATTGCCTAGGGTTCTGTATTTTATGTCCTAAATGAATCATATTTTAATTGGATACATGATTACATGTTTCACCATGTGTTTGCAGTCCATTTTCACATTTAAATATCTTGCCTGGTTCAGTCATGCATTTCAACCTTAGCTTTTCAGTTGCTTATTGATTTGTTTATTGCAATTAAATATGCCTTGTAAACATTTTCTTCTGGAGCTAAAATGGCTGATTTTTTTTTATCTTAGGAGAACAAGTGAATGAAGTTTGATATTAATAGAAAATTTTACAGATTCTGCATTGATGTTTTCTCTCACATTTTCTAGAAACTTGTTATCTGAATAGAACAACCTTGTATCACCCAGCTACTGTGCAGTTCTTGATTGATACGATAATGTTAGAAGAAAACTAATTATAGCATTGGTTGCTTCCTGTAGCAGTCCCCTGGCGCTGCCAATAGCCAAGCAAGACAGTTTGTTGGAAAAAGACATCATGTTCAAAGACGCAGCAAAAGGGCTCTGTAAGCAGCAGTCCCCGGACGCTACCCCTGAGCACACCGCGATGAACAGCTGCAGCAAACCCGAGCAGGTAATCACTCATGGCCGTGGCGTGCCTCCACATGTCATCGCGCTTTGCAGCCCAGCATACTTAAAAAGCAAATATCTGCTGCCTTTCAGTGGAAGAAAAATTGAGGACTGTATAGGTTCCCATCTGCATACAGCCCATAAAAGAATGAGCGCTGGACTCATCATTGATTGTGTTTTACAGCAATCTGGGTTTCCCAGTTTAGCTTCAGTACCAGGAACGTGGGCTCAGCCAGTGTGCTACTTCTTGCCTGGCTCCAGTTGAATCTTTCGTTATTATTTTTGGACATTAGGTAGTCTGCATTTTTCTGTTTCCTACAACTATCCAAATACAGGCAAGAAAAAAGAACAAAGACTGACAGTCATACTTGGAATTAACTAACTGTGGTGATGGTGGTGGTGGTGGTGGTGTGTGTGTATGTATGTGTGTGTGCATTTGTGCAGAGGTGTACAACTATGGATCACTGTGGTCAGGCTAAGGGAGATGGCTTTAGAGTTGGAAGACTGCACTTTGGGATTATAGTAATGAGCACATCTTCTCTTCTTATTGCCCCAGAAATAAACGAGTTGGTGTGGTAAGGGTTTCGTGAATGCCAGGGGAATCTGCATCCTCAAAACAATCTTTTTCAGCATCTCTAATCCTGAATATGTTAGTTAAAGCTTCTAAAAACTCGCTTTTCCAAATTAAATTCTAATTTAATTTAGATTGCTTTAGATAAAGAAAACTTTAAAATGTTCATGCTTTTCATTTTTATTGACATTGTTTTGAAATACTTTTCTTAGTTAGCTTATAAAAAACATGTGGAAATTGTAAAGTTAATTTGATTTTCTACTGTTGAGATTTGCTAACATTAAAAACCCTCTCTAGTACAAGTCAAGCCATTGCATAACCTGAAGTGAATTCCTATGCTTGAGTTTACGTTTCCATTACTGTGTTCTTAAGCTAGTAATTATTTGTCCAAGTTCAGCAAAAGTTCAGGGATAACTGATTACCTAATTAAAGATGAACAAATTCAGCTCCAACCTTCCATCAAAGCACTGAGATTTTTACCTCCTGGTGTCAGGGCCATTCCTAACAGGCAGAACAATTTCTTTTAAATGTTAATTTAACACAATGTTCTCAACAAAACAAAACATTCTTCAGAAATGAGAAGACCTTCTTGTCATAGGAACATCCAGAGAAATCCTTGCTGGGCTGCTTTTCTGTTGTTAATGTCAGAGCTTAGGGTTGAGTCCTGGGCATGAGTGTGCTCCTTATCCATCCTGTGGGAGGGCCCCGTGAGTCATGAGACTCAGGCTGCAGCACTTAGCTCAGCCGGCCACATGCGCAGCCTGGCCACGAGGTAAGGGTGGGTCTGTGGGTGACACTGGGGGGACACATTGCCTGCATGCCTACATTGTTCAGGCTCCAGCCACAGCAGGACCTTGGAACAGACTTGCTGAAGCTTACAAAGCTCTGATTCACATTTCAAAGAGAAACTCGTAAAAAAAAAAAAAAAATCTTTTCAATCAAAATAAAAATCGACTGCTTCCAGATTGTTGTAACATGTGGGTTGTATCAAATGGTGACTGAATGGTGCAAATGAATATTCAAGGATTGCTTCACCACTTTCTAAATTTCTGAGAATCAGTAAGATTTGCTTTCATAATATCCCTAAGAAAATAAGAGGGTTTTTTTTGCTGCTTAAAACTAAAAATTCCCCCTTCCTTACTTTTGTTTCTTAGTCTGTTCCTCCCCCCATGCACTGCCTTTATCCCATTTTATTTCTGTTTTCTTATTTAAATTCTCTCTTTCATCCCTTTCTTCTTTCTTTTCAGAAAACTTAAATTGAATTTAAGCTTGGAATTTTGATATAAAATAGCCTGCAAAGTCTCCTGTGTTTAGAAGGTGCCTGGATAATGACTTGCTATGTGAGGGCATCCCTGGGTCTTGGCCTGAGGGTTGGTCTCCTTCCTGGCTCCTCCCTTATCTCTCTGCTTCCTATCTACCATGCCCTGAGCCACTCTCCTCTGCCAGTCCCTGCCCCAGGCCAATGCTACCTAGAATTGGCGGACCATGCAAAGTCTGGAGCTTCTAAAACAGGAGCCAAAATATACTTCTCTTTCACTTTGTTGGTGTTGAATATTTTGTTCCAGCAACCAAAAAGTGCTAAGAGAGTTCTGTTACACTTAGTGCAGACACATCAGCTTGAGAGTGACAGAAGAGATTATGGGGCTCTGTGGGCTGGCTGTGTTCCAGGAACTCTGTGACTCTGGGAGCTCCACAGCCACACTCAACCATATCTGTGAGGCGAGTGCGTGGTGTGGACTTCACATGGGTGTGTGACGATGCTGTCGGTGAGGGCCTTGAGGTACCTCATGTTCACAGAGTGGAGCACACCTAGTCAGACACTTACTCTACTTTTGTTGGTGTTGTGCATCTAGACTGAGAGTGCACTCACTCACTTTTACCATAGGGAGCTTTCTGCTTTTCACTCATCTAGTAATCTGAATAAAGCAAGAAATGGAACAGCACGAAATCCAGCCTTGCGCCAGCAGCCCTGTGAGAGCGGAACGAGATGGGCGAGCTCTGTGGCTGCCAGACAGACATGCCTTGGACCTGGAACCATTTCTCAACCATGTTTGAGTTTTTCACTGTCTTTTGCATTATGTTTACATTGCTCTTTTTGACAAAAGCCATAAAGATTGATCCTAGGGTTGCACCCTTAGAAAGTGTTTTTTACCTGACATTGGCTTAGATGACCAGAATTGATGAGAGACATTTCTCCTACCCAGTATTCACACTGTAATTATAACATGAAAATATGCACGGATGTAGTTTCCTTTTCTTTGCTGTCAGCCCCAGTGCCTTTGAAATCCTTATAAAGAGTTTATGCCTGAAACAACCTTGCTTGGGACTGATGAGAAATACTTCCTTCTAGTCTCTTCTCTGGCAGGACTCAGAAAAGGCCAGGGTAAGGTGCACAATGTTGGTGGCCTTTCCTTACTTCCCATAGGCTCGGGAGTGGGTGGCCCCATTTTGCTGTCAGCCTTGTACTTCTCTCACCCACCCACATAGCAGCTGTAGCACTGGGGAGGAGACCCCGTGGGAGCACCAAGGAGAAACAGCCTAAGCCTCCTCCCAGGCTCCTCAGCACAAATGCAAACATCTGTCAGCACTGCTGTGCTTCCTCCAAGTGTGTGGGCAGAAACTGGCATGGAGAGTGCTAGCGCTGTGGTTGTGAGAGGAATGTCATTTTCTTAGTATAAGTCATTACCTTTGAGGAAAAACATCTTGCTCTTGATTTTTGTTTTTTCCCAGTTTGCTCTGGAAGTTAACCAAGTGGACCAACTTGCTGCAGAATTTGCATTGCTTTGCAGTTTTGCATTATTTGAATTTACTGCAATCATATCAATTGTATGATGTTATATACACATGCATATTACATAAGCATGCTAATATTTGTGTCTAGATAAACAGGTGCATATACTACACTCTTAGCTTTGGGATATCGATGAGCCACCTATAATTCTTTGGCATAATATTTGCAAATGCATTAGTAAGAAAAAGTATGTGTGTGTCTGCCTCTAAATGGGCAGTAAGCTGCCTATCACACCTCTCTCTCTCTCTAAAGCCTTTTGCCAGTGCTTGCTTCCCCTCTGGAACATAAGCCCTTGCCCATTGGTGCTTATTTTTCTAGAACCTTCTATCCACATGCAAGCAATCCACAGCAGGAGCCTAGGGTCCTGTCAGCTTGCTCCTCAACAGAAGAAGACTGTGGCCTTGTCAGAGTGAGCCAAGCAGGGAGCCACCCACGCTGAGGGTCTTCACCGCTCTTTTTCTGAATGCACAGGTTGCCTGAGTTCTAGGCTGATGGGTCAGATTTTGTGCTGATGCAGTAAAGCAAGTCTGACTACTCACCCAAAGACCCCAAGGGGAATATGACAGTGAGTGGTGGTGGGGGCCCTTGTTCAGTAGAGAGGGCAAGGACATGGGGCTGCCAAATGCCCCTAACCTGGTCTTCAGGGCTGCACATGAACACCAAGATTATGCGGGGAATGAATGTGGCACCGTCTTGGCCCGACCCTGGTCTTCCCGGCCACGCTTGCCAGCGGGTTCGGTGCTACTCTGGGGAAGCCAGTGCTTCTTGGGCACAGCTCGGTAGCTGCCTGCTGAACAAGTCACTCCTGCCTCCCAGAGCGGCCTCTTGGGTCAAGCGCCTGCCCTGCCCCAGGGCTCCAAGGCTTTCAGTGCGTGTGGGGCTGGAAAGAGGCCAGGACTCTCAGGCGTCCCTCGGACCACCTTGTAGATGATGTGTCCACGCATCCTGGACGTGCCCAAGTTCCTGGGGCTCCAGGCCTTCAGCCTGGGTAGGGGAGGTCACCCTGGAGGACCTGAGTGGTAAAGAGAATTTACCATGAGCAAGGAACAGAGGAAAGACAAGAGTTTCTTTGGATCAGAGGACACTGGGGTAGTGTCTTTCCCCTTTCTTGATGCTGAGACGTGACACCCAATTCCCGCAACTTGAGGAGAGGTTTATTGTAGCTCATGTCTCAGTCCGTAGTCAGCTGGCTGCGGGGCAGAGGAAAGCCGCTCAGCGTGTCGTGTCAGGAGCAGCTGAGAAGGAAAATAACCCCTTCCAGTTGCGTCCACAGTGACTGCCTCTTCCAGCTAGACCCGATTCCTCACGTAGTCAGTGATGAGCCCCATGACCAACCTGCTTGCAAACACACGTAGTGCTGGGGAACGTGGTAGATCTAAACCACAGCAACCATCAGCAGAGAGAGCACATGACTGGCCGTGGGCAAAATCACGCAGGGTGAGAGACTGGGGTTTTCATAAGGGTGTTGAAATATGGAAGAAAGGTCCAGGCAGCACATGTGATTATCTAAAAGTCTTTTTCTGGGTCCCTAAGCACAGTGTAGCTCTCCCGTGTGTACCGGCATTGTCCTTAAAATTGTGTTTACAGTTGCAACTTGGATGTATCCATTTTCCTCTGGCTTCCAAGAAGTGTACCGCTTTAG